GAGCGGCCCCTCAAGTGCAGAGCCAAGCACGCCCCCGGCCTGGGCCCCGCTGGGGACAGCCAGGTCACCCCATCGCGGTCCTCCCTGCCTCTCTGCGCTGAGGGAGGGACTGGAGAGACGCAGCTCAGGAGAAGGGCCCCACGCCTTGGCACATTCTGTTCCCCCTGCCCACCATGCTGTTCCTGGCAGACTTCCCTCTCCCCCGGGGCCTTCCAGGCTTACGTCTCTCCCTCTTTGTGAGGCAGGGCACTGCAGCGGGGAAGCATGTACGTGATCAGGAGTCCACTGATGGGGCAACTGAGGCCCAGAGAGAGGGAGCGATGTGTGCTGGATCACGCAGCTGGAGGATGAGCGCTGAGATTCCACTCCAAGCCTCTGCTCCTCCTCCTGGCACTTAAGTCCTTCCCCCAATCCATCCCCACACACATGCCCAGCACAGACCCACCTCGGGGCCTTCGCCCACTCCATAATCCCAATCTGGGGTTACGGTGCCCTCTCTCTGCCCAGCTGGATCTTACTGAACTTTAAGTCCCCTACTCTTGCCATCCTTCCAGCCCTGTCCTTAGGCTCTGAAGCACACTGCCCCCCTGACCTGCCTCCTCATCCAATTCCTCTTCACCTTTCAGCTCACCTGGGGATGCCCCTCCTTGGGGGAGCTCCCTCTGTTCGGCTAGACCACCTCCTCTTCGGAGCCCACTCCCGGAGGCCGCCCCACTCCACCCGCTTTGTGATTTCTAGCTCAGTGTCTCTCTCCTTCCCCAGATGAGGGCTCTCAGGGGACTTGTTTACACATGTCGCCTCAGCACCCAACACAGAACCTGGTGCAGACCGGGTATTCGATACTGGCTGTCCCTGCACGGCACCCATCCAGCTATCCTTTCATTCAGCAAATGTTTATTGAGCAGCTGCCCTGTGTGGGGGACCTGGGATACAGCAGTGGGAAAACAGGCAGGGCCCTGCTCTGACTCAGGTGACATTCTAGTGACAAGTATGCACATGTTCTAGCCAAGGGCCAGTGGCATAGATGCTATAGAGAACAAAGAGTGGGGGAAGGGCCAGCCACAGTGGCTCACACCTGTAATCCCGGCACTTTGGGAGGCTGAGGCAGGCGGATCACTTGAGGTCAGGAGTCACCTCAGGATCACCTGAGGTCATAGTGAAACCCTGTTCCTACTAAAAAATACAAAAATTAGCTGGGCATGGTGGCAGGTGCCTGTAATTCCAGCTTTTTAGGAGGCTGAGGCATGAGAATTACTTGAATCCGGGAGGCGGAGGCTGCAGTGAGCTGAGATCTCACCACTGTACTCCAGCCTGGGTAACAGAGTGAGATTCTGCAAAAA